AATGCAGCAAAACTTTCATTTATCTTGGAAGGTAATGAAAGTAAAACATCATTTTTTTATCTGCTCTGTGATTTTGATCAGCTCAAAACATTGAATGGGTTCTTCCGGGGCCGATCGTGCGCCCTTCAACTAAGTAAGCCTGCTGACAGACAAACAGGTCCTCTCAGCAAAGGAGATGCATATTGTATAGCTGCCAAATGCTCCAAAATATGAACTCTCATTCCCATCATTTCCACTGTCCGTCATTTTTCCTGGTCTTAAAAAAACAGCTTTAATGTTTGTGCTTCTGAAACAAAAGCAGCTCTTACCCATCATGTTGTAGAGGCTCTGTGGTGCAAATTGTCTTGGCATTTTCTGTATTGCTTCCTTAAACACTGTGAGGGCCTCCTGTGAATGAAACAAACAGAAATAAAGAAGGTGGTGGGGGATGTTTGCATTAGAGAGCGGAGAGACCCCGTCAGAGAAACTGGCTCTGGTAAGTTGTCATTCCTCCCCTGCAACCGGGGCCCCGACACAGTGAATACACAGCGTGGAATTGGGGGCCGCCAGGGTCTATCCTCAGTGTCACGGCTGTTAAGTCGACTAGAGCGGTGTCACATATTGACTATGGTATGTATAGAGTGTAGGTCCAGCGATTCACCTCAGAGTCCCTCTCAATTTGAATGGAAGAAGAAGCTGGAACTACTTTATTGCTGAAGCAAATGTTGCGGTGAGAGGTTGGGAGGAAGTGCTCTTTTTCCTCAGTCGTGCCAACCATTTATAAAAGTACTTATTGAATCTGCAGTACCATTGCTTCAGTCCTGATTGAATCAGCAGTCAGTGCTTATGTACAATATAAATGTGCAGCACGGTCTTTAGGGGCGTGAAAGAGAGCACATTTGTAAGAAACAGCCCGAGGATTATCTGCTCAAAACACTGAGTCCCCTATGACACTAGCATTTCTGCAACATGTGTATAAAACTGAGCATTTTCTCAGCTTCCTATACAGTAAGCTCCTCGGCCTGCATCTTATCTTAATTCACTATGGTTCATATTTTCCAGCATGTGCTGCACGTAAAGAAAAGCTTGTTGAACTCCTATGGGAACTTTTGGGGGTGTTTGCTAAAGAAAATGTGTTTGCAGATGTTCTATAAATGTTAGCCAAGGTGGATTTGTGCATTAACTTACAGGAAGTTAAGATACACTGAACAAAAATATAAACGCAACACTTTTGTTTTTGCTCCCATTTTTCATGAGATGAACTCAAAGATCTAAAACATTTTCTATATACACAAAATAACCATTTATCTCAAATATTGTTCACAAATCTAAAAAAATCTGTGATAGTGAGCACTTCTCCTTTGCCGAGATAATCCATCCCACCTCACAGGTGTGCCTTAGGCTGGCCACAATAAAGGGCCACTCTGAAACGTTCAGTTTTGCTTTATTGGGGGGGATCTGGGGGGGTCCGAAAACCAGTCAGGTTTAACCCTAACCCTAACATGTCACCCACTGACACATTAAAACATGTTTTAGGGTTTAACCAGTCAGGTTTAACCCTAACCCTAACCCTAACATGTCACCCACTGACACATTAAAAAATGTTTTAGGGTTTAAAACTGTTTTAGGGTTTAAAACTGCACGTTTCAGAGTGGCCTTTTATTGTTGCCAGCCTAAGGCACACCTGTGCAATAATCATGCTGTCTATCAGCATCCTTGGATATGCCGACAACCTGTGAGGTGGATTTGGGATTATCTGGCAAAGCGAAAGTGCTCACTATCACAGATTTTTCAGGATTTTGTGAACAATATTCTGAGAGAAATGGTTATTTTGTGTTTGTAGAAAATGTTTTAGATCTTTGAGTTCGTCTCATGAAAAATGGGAGCAAAAACAAAAGTGTTGCGTTTATATTTTTGTTCAGTGTAATTTCAGGGGCTAAAATATAAATGATAAAGATTATTAACAACAGGACATTGAAGGGACTGTCATTAAAGCCATTAAAGAAAGAAGAGTAACTTTAGCAAAGTCTAAGTACCAAGTCTGAAAAGTTTTAAAATACGAACACATTTCTTAAAGCGAAATTAGATATTTTCTGCAGTTACGGCTGTACCTCCTGGTGTCCCTGCTCATGGAGCAGCTTGCCCAGGTTGTATAAGCAGCTGGTGACGGAGCTCTTGTGGGCGTGCGGGTCCTTCAGGTTCTCATCTGGGATGTCAGCGCAGGTCAGGAAGGTGCGCTTGGACTCATCCAGACGACCCTGATTCATCAGGATGATGCCTGTGTTCAAGTAGGCCGCTGTAGGGGAAATAAAACACGGGGAGTAGTGTTAGTTCTGGCTGATAATACAACTTCAGTAGTAGAATCCCTGCTGATTGGATTCATTAGGCCTCATTCAAAGGTCCTGACCCCTCCCAATGATTTCTTATTTTGGATTAGTTCTTTAGTAAGAATAGTATGTATACTTGCTCAAGAGCACACTGACACTGACATGTTTATACAAAGATAATTGTCTATAATACACTTACAATCCAACATTTTTGCTTGTATATCACTACTGAACACATTGATGATGCCAGCTTGTGTTGTGTTCTCTTTTTGCAGTGCTGAGAAATTGGCCCATGATAGAAATTGTATTTTTTGACAAATGAAGTCAGGGAAAACCGTCAAAAAGACTAAACGCTGTCATCGACTGTCAATAATAGTGGTAATTTGTATAAGAGCACAGAATTCAAATTGTTCGGGAAAAATAATGTTGCTGTTAAATCAATTTTTCATGAATGGCTAATTCCTTCAAATAAGTGTCTCTCGGTGATCTCAAGTCTCACAGATCAATGGTGCCGAAAGGAAGCCCAATTATAATTTCTAGTGTATTTATCCTTTAATGCTTACTCTATGTTTGACCTTTGCATCCTCTCATTTACTTCGGTTGCCTGTTCAACTTTTCCTTCAAAGACAACATCTAATAATCAATACGCATCTTGAGAGTAATTAGTCTCGGTGGACTTGCCTCTCTTAACAACTCACTATAAAGTCTGACGGTGCGAATACATTAACTTGACACAGCAGATCAATCTGGAAGGCTCTTCTGCTGGGCAGGGCCATGGATGTATAATAAGAACTGGATACAGCGTGGGATGCAGGGCTTCATTCATTCCTATGAGAGTTGCTCATTGGCGGATGATAATAAAATGGCCAAACTTTTGAGAGAGCGAAACGCCACAGATTACCCGGCATGCCTGAGAAGTACCCGAATGTGCGCTCATAGTGCATGCGCAACTTTAACCAAAATGCTCGTTCACATCAAGCACGTCAATTTGCGTACACGTAACAGCACCGCACGTTCATGACAGCATGGTAATGATTTGTTATTATGATGGATTTGATATTAACGAGGTGGCAGTTAGCAGCTAGCTAGTAATTATGCTAATGTACACATCAATCGTTATGTACTTGTGCTGTAACAGGATCTAGTGATATCCAAGCAACAGAGCTTCATTTAGCATGAAAGAATTATTGCACTGTATATATACAGTGGGGCAAAAAAGTATTTAGTCAGCCACCAATTGTGCAAGTTTTCCCACTTAAAAAGATGAGAGAGGCCTGTAATTTTCATCCGAGGTATACCTCAACTATGAGAGACAAAATGAGAAAAAAGACTGCCAAGGCACAC